ACAAACGAAAAATACAAGAAGAGAAATTACAGATTCAAAGATTTTATATTGGACTGTGTAGAAAAATGACTGAACCAAACAAACAGTGTGGAGAGGGAGAAAAGTCAAGGAATGAAGTGGATGACGAATCTATTGGGTCAGACTAGAGTGCAGTCACGCCTCCGCCCTCGACCTTGAAAAGACCACCAGTGAAAGAGCCAGCAAATCGTCTAGAGGGTGGCTTGAAAATTCACAAAATGGTCCATGTTCCTAACAGTAACAATAAGAAGAATGGTGCCCTGAGAAAGTGTCGCGTGAGTGCTAATCACAAGGTTAGAAAAGAAACAAGTATCATGTGTGCAGGCTGTGGTGTGGCTCTCTGCAAACTTTCATGTTTCAATGTTTATCACACGAAGAAAAACAAATAAAGAGGTGTGGAAAAGCATTTATTGCATAAAATATTGTATTTTAATTAGTTCCTAAAAATTTCGTTTTTAAAAACCAATTTTTGTTGAAGTTGTTTAGGAAAAAGTAACAACATGCATTTTAGCGACATAAGGTTTAAAGGGCCTGCCAGGACAGGGGTGGGATTTAAATACCCTTCACGCCAGTCAAAGAGTTAATGTTCATGGCTATATGAAGTTGGTTTCACTTACTTGAGCTGAGAAAACAGATGCTCGCCATCACCAACCAATGCCCTCTCCTTGCCATCGCCCTTTCGGCGATAGCCTCAGGCTGAACTCTCTGTCACATGATATTATTCAAAAGTCAAAAGGCAAAAGTTTCTTTGATTAAGTTTTCTAGGGTTTATATAACCTCTCTTTGCTGATTCTTCGTGTTCCGGGTATGTTGCCCTGCCCATTCTGACGTGATTTTGGCCCCCCTCATTGGTTGCCCATCGAGAAGGGGTTGACTCTTTCGGGTCTACCGCCTCCTCCGACTCAGCGTTTTCCTGTGTGTATACGACCTACTTCATATAGCTTCTTCCTCAATGTCAGCGTTATTACGCTGCCGTGCTAGCATTCTAATGACTCAGGCATTCCCTGTTACAATTCTTTGTAAACCTAAGCTTCCTGGTTCGTTTCATCATGGCTATTTCTTAATCTTACAGTCTAGCTACTATTATCCAAATTTACCCAAAAACTATATCTACATGTACGTAACCTTAGCGGCATTACAGCCTTTAAAACAACATACACAATAGGTAATCTAATAAACGAAACGCGACAAATAAACCCATATGAACAAAGCGGTATATATAAATTAACATGCCAAAGCTGCCAAAAAGTATACATCGGCCAAACGGGTAGAAATCTAACAACTAGATACAAAGAATATATAAGAAATATAAGACTAAACAAAGACGAATCGACATTAGCCCAACACGTTACACCTGCCCAGCACGCTGCCTTCCTCACAGTATAGTGCCTCGGCTAAATTCAGGGTCATCAGTCTTGTATCTCAGGGGTACACGGGTGTTGGCTCACCTTTTCTTTTTTAAGTTTCTGATTAATTAACTTTATTTATTCTATGTAGAAACTTCTCTTCCTCGTTAGATTGCGTAATATTTCTTTGAAATCCAATTACATAAATCAGCGTTTATTAACAGTTCACAATCTCTTTGATAATGCTGCCGGAGTTCACTCTTATTCACTGTCCTCTTAAATGATCTTTTACTCGCTCGACTCACTGACCTCCCGAACGACTCTTTACTGACTGACTACTCGACTGCGACTTCCTCAACTGACTGACCAACTGCTTTCCACTGAACTCTACTCCTTACCAACTTGAACTCCCTCACTGACGGACTTCTACTGACTCACTACCAAATTACCACCGCCGCTGCTTTTAAAACCTTCTTACAGCGATCTCGAATTTTCTACTGGGGGGCTATATGACCAAGCGCAAGGACCCCTTCCGGCCTACACGCCTTCTCGAAGCTTCCATCGACAGGTCCTTCACCTGCACAGGCAAGGACGACGGAAGGGATACCTACCCCCCCCCAAGTGCAACACACTCACTGACCTCCCTTTAGCCCCTCGTAACAAAAGGCCAGTTCAGAGGACATTGATCCCTCCGGAGCATCTTATTTCAATAGCTAAACTTAATCGTTACGTACTAACAAATAAGACATATCCGTGAAGGATGCGTACAATTACAACATACTAAATAAACACCATCAGTACGGGCAGATGACAGTAATCATGGAAATGACTGAAAGAGCTAAAAAAGGAGGCATAATGAATATAAAAGAGGACTTCCACATATATCACTTTAATAAGTTCAACAAACTGATAGAAGAACAAAAGCATAAAAAAGAAAGTAAGAGCCAACGTAATATGTTCGACCTTATAATACATCATCAGAACACGCCAACACTAACGTCACAAACACAACAAGTATAAATCATGCGACACAGCACACTCTAGAACAGTGAAAACACAGCCAGCCACGAACAAATACTGGGAGACATCTAGGTAGGCCGAAACAAATTAAATAAATATATATATATATATATATATACTAGCTGTGCCCGGCCACGCCTTGCTGTGGCTCAGTCTGCCCGTTCTTCCCCAGTTTGATTTACAATTACTTGACGCATTGCTTCCTCTCCGCAAGTACGACGACCGACGTTTGATCTTCTGCGAGGCATTATTTGAATGAACTAAAGCAGATCAATTGCACTGATGAAGAAAAAAATGCTAGCAACGGGCCACTGTTATCGTGTTTCAATGGAAGTATACGCTGTTCTAGCGTTACTATTGAAACGACTGCTGGATTTCAACGCGATCGGTGAAGAACTTTCGGAGATCTTCGATAAGAGAAAATGAACATTTACATTTTTATTTAAAACTCTTCAGAGCTGGACTATTATAACCTGGTTTTGGACTCAATAGAGGGCACGATCTGTTGTTAGCAATGGCCCACTGTTATTGCGTTTCCATGGATCTTTGATAAGAGAAAACGAACATTTACATTTTTATTTATATAAGAAGATAGATAGATGAAAACGACACAGCCCAATTCCAAGGCAATGTCACACGAAAAATTAAATCAAAATGAAAATAAATCGAAACTGTTTATATTCGGCGTTGGCTATCCCAAGACTAACTCATTCGGCGCTTACCTCCAGGCTCTCTTCCGTATCCCTTGGCATCTGCCCTGAGACTGGCTGCTTCTTGTCCAAGGTGGGCTATTTATACCTCGGCGGATGCTGTGATTTCACTTGGAATCTCTTGTGATACTTGTGAGCTCGTGATACTCGAGACACTCGTGATACTGAACAGTCGCCGGAGCTAAACTCTCTTATACATATAGCCAGCGCTCAAACGGGATTGGGAATACCTTATCGAAGAGTCAGTTTCATCTGTTGCTTAGGAAATGCTAGCAACAGCAAACTGTTATTGCGTTCCCATGGAAGTATACGCTAACTGTTCTTGCGTTACAATTGAAACAACTGCTGGATTCGGAACATGTGGTAGGTTTTTACCTGTTTTTACCTGTCACGGGTGTAACATCTACATAATAGGCACACAAAAACACCCGGGTGTTCGAATGCAACGTTGTGTCAAAATTTTGAAGCGATCGGTGAAGAAGTTTCGGAGATCTTAGGTAAGACTCAAACGAACATTTACATCTTTATTTATATAGATACACTAGGGTCACTGAAATAGTACAATACCCATAAGATAGACAGGCGGCACAAAATCTGCCCCATACAAGAAGGACGATAGGAGTACGGACACGAAACTACATGGTTTAAAAAATTTTAACTATTGACAATAAAGGTTTTTTAAATAACATCTAGAAACTTTTAAAAACTTTACAACACCAGGAAGCTGCTGTGATTGTGAAACGTTTGACTTTATACGTACTGTGCATTATAGGATATAAGTGTATGTATTTTAAATCAAAGCACCTATTGTGATGGTAGTTTCCAGTTTGTAATGATGTTCCCTCTGAAAATGGCCCATAAGGACCGAAACATGTAAGGGAGATAAGCTTTAATGTAGTAAAACTTACATGTCACATTGGATGGAGTGGTTTGTATTTATAATTGTTAGTGTGATGGACCAGAATGAAACAAATCAAATCTCAATTAAAATTTGAATACCTAGAAAAAATTAGCTGAAAATACCATGCACTAATTCTAGTGTTTGTGATAAGGATTTCACACTGAGTACACAGCAGCAAACTTCAGCTGCCTCCACAAATAACAGGACAGTATACATTCAGCACTGTAAGCTGTTCTCATGAAATGCTCTAAATTTCGCCTAATACAGCTTCAGCAGTATGGTCACATGCCCATAAGTATCTTTCAAACTGAGTTTCTACACGTACTTTCCAAGAGCAGTTTCACGTGGTCTGGTCGTGAGAATCGTGGGTGAGCATCACCATCATCATCATCATCATCATCATCTGAAGAACTGTTGCCCTCACAGCCTGCCACCTCTGCTGCCCGTCCATTGAGAATGTTACCCACTGCTGTCTTATGTGTTGGCTTCACAACCACCTTCAAAACAACCATACAAGACTAGCATCAGAGGAGCTGAAGCAAAGACCCCAACACTTACGCCCCTTTAGCTGACGGACCCTAGACAACATTACCACACACTGCATGCATAAATGTTACATGAACTGCAAACAGCTATCCATCCATTAAACAACTGACTCTAGAAAAACAGATGAGACAGACACCAGCAGATATGCTGCCTTTCAAATCTGGGGCAGGGGAAGAACAGACACAGATCCTCCTCCACCCATCATTCTCATATCCGTGGGCCTTCCCCCCTCCCACTATTCTTCTGACTTCATGTACAATGCAGGTAGAGTGGATGGAACAGGGAACCTACTTGATCCCCAACCACCCAAGCATACTACACTGTAATGATATCAAATAAACGCTACCACGCAATTGTGAAGACCACATAACACTTCTGGGAGTGATGCTGTGTAGTCCAGTACAGTCACCAATGTTCTGAAACTGCTACCTCCACCTTTAGGGCAGAAAAATCTTCTGCCCTGGAAACTCACATCCCAAAAGACAGTTACCAATGTGACAGCCTCAAACCCAATATATAGTGATATGCTTTACCACAAGTTCTGATGGATCCTCCATTTTATTTTCATGTTCAGCAGCTTCTATTTTCTCTCCTTCTTTTTTCACCTCCTTTTTCTTCTTCCTCTCTCTGTCAAGCAGCTTCATGATCTTCTTACTCTGTGTTGACTTCTTCACCTGGAACACTTCTCCATCATCAGCTGAAAAAAAGAAACATCAAACACTGTATCAACTGCTGAAGCTGTAGTAACACTGAAGTAACAAGATTAACTCAGGCGTCACTTATTGGTTCATCTGCAACAACTCAGATTTCTGTATCTCTACACAAACCCATAACCTTAGTACCACCAGAATAAGTAAGCAGGCAAGCAACCACGCACACCACACTCTAACCAGGAACCAACATTGGATAAGCTTGGAAGTAGAATTCCAGCCCTCTCACTGAATTTTTTTGGGTATATTTTAATTTATTCTGATTACACTTATGCACTGCTGGTACCGATAGCAAGTTCGCTCACCATAGGTGCCAACACAGATCGGTGAGTTATGGTGGGCGGCGTTTTTATTCATAACAAACTGGATTCAGACTGTTCAATTCCAATCCCAGGTTCTACATTGTGAAACCAAAAGCATCGTATGTTTACATACGATCAGATATATTACTGTAATTTCCGGCATACTTCAAACTTATTCATGAAAGATTCATAACCCTCAAATCAACAACAAAGAGTAATAATTAATCGGTGTTTCCAGCACAGCAACACTTACATACAGTGCCCGAACAAACATTAATTGCGACATATGTGGGCATGAAGTTACACATTTCAGACTCCATGCCGCATTTGACATACCTTCATTCAGTTCTTCTTCAAAACTCAGGACGGTTTGCTTCCGCCTTTCCTTTTTCTTGTCCTTTATTTTCGTTGTTACATTAGTTTGTGGTTGAGCGATATTTTCCTCTTCTTCGACTTCCATCTTTTTCTCATTTTCATCGCCTCCTTCTTCATCTTCAATGCTTCCAATAACTCTTCTTCTTATATTTTTCTTCGGCTTCTTAAACAACGACATTTCTCACGTACCACAAATAAACATGGCCGACCTAACTTTCGTACTCCGCATCGGTCCGCAGTGCCACAGAGAACACAGAGAATAACTGCCGAGCGTTGCCGAGTCTATTACCATTGTGGGAACCGTGGGAACTGCCCACATTCAAGCAAGTGTGACAATGCAAGCTTCATTGCTTAGCAACGACAAGTAAACAGCGGTTGCTAGGCAAAGCCTACACTACCATGAAGATGGAAGCAATATGTTCCTCCAAAACGCCGTTTCATTTTCACTGTATGACATGCAATCATCTCCCAGAAGCTAGAACTACTGCTGCAAGAGTACCAAATCCTACAGAACAAAAAACTTAATCTTCCAAACCCTGAGGGAATCCTGCCAGGACTCCACTGACAAAACAACAGGCTGCTGGACTGTCTAAATATGGAAAAAGTATCAAAAAGGAACAAAATACGAATATTACAGTCTGCTAAATATGACAGGCATATGTGTTCTTCACGTAATGCATTTCCCTAATTTGTAAAGAATGCTTAGTTAGCAACATCATCTGGCTTTGTTGCTTATGTAAAGCCAGGTCCAGACTTATTGCATATCCCCATATTGTATCAGTGTGGACGGTACCCCATATCCTTCCTTTGCAAAATGTTGATAATGTGATAGGCAACGGGCTGTTCACTCGCCTGGCGGTCTTCTCCTGTCACAACAAAGGGACGACACGCATTGCAGTGGTGCCAGTCTGGACATGCAGGCAGTTGCATCGCGCTTTGCTCATCAGCTCCACACAAAAGACAGTTGGAGTGTAGTCATCACCAGTGTGCGTTCTTGTATTTTTGATTCTCTGCTTATACTCTGAATGGAGTGGAGTAAGGAGAGCATTATATTGTAATGTGTTTCGTTACTGAATATGCCGTAGAGATCCTTAATTGGTTTATTGAACAATTTACAAGTAACGGCTACAATTACTTATCACACAGTTGCGGGGTTTCACACTTTATAACCCTAATCGCATTAATCTGTTACCACTGTTGCGGGGTTTCACGATTTATAACCCTACGCGCAAATCAGCTCACTCTGCCTTCAGTAGTCTACACGTTTACAGTAGGGGAGCTAGGTATCACTGTATCACACGCTCCCAATTACACAATCGCACACACGTCCGGTTCTTCTTTCCGCGACGGCTGCTATACTCCAACTGTAGTCGGCTCACTGGAGAACTGTTGATAACACACTCGCTCGACTACTACTTAACTCGGCGACTGCTGCTATATGTCAACTCGACTCGGCGACTGTTACGTTACAACTCTCAGAGGTAGCTCGAGGACTAACTCGGAACTGTCTTCGGCGATGGCCACATTACAACTCACTGCTTGTGGGAGGGTGTTCTCCGTTGCGCAACATGTCACAATATATTTAACTGATGAATATAAGAAGAGGGTATGATTTGGAATCCCCGAAACAGAGAACATTACAACAAAACAAAAAAGCAGGACACATGGGAGGAGATAGGAAAGGAACTGAACAGACTGATTGACTGACTGAAAATTTAAGTCCACCAAAAGATTGGATCCATTGCATACTTTCCTACTGGCACAGATTGGTGATATCCACAAACGTCATGATTTCTTTCTTCTTTCCTTTACAGCACAGAGAAGATAGATGTACGCAGCTGCTGTTACCATCAGGGTAGGTGTAGTCATTGCTGATTGAAATCTGGCTGAAAACTGAGATTCAGCTCGTAATTTCTTTGTTGCCTTCTTGGAAGGAGAAATCCTGTCGCGTTGCATCGGTTGATACGCAACAAGTCTGGACGCAAAATTTTGCTGCGTTTCATTCAATGATACACGACAGAGATACGCAACAAGTCTGGACCCGGCTTAACACTTGCCACTGACTACATTTAAATAAAAACAATTACAATTTTCTATAGAAACCCTTAACACATAAGAAGGTATGAAGGAGATGGATGTGAGTACAGAAATTTCTAGGATCAACAGATGTATGGTGAAGTGAAAAACAAGAGCATGTTATACCTGAACCAACCCAGGTCACTTCCATAAAACTGGGTTCTGGTGCAGACACAGGCAGAAACACTGACACTGTGGCAAGATTTTGCTTTAATAACAACTATATTTGTACATACAACTGCCAACCCAACATTTACAAAGACCTTTAAAAAACATTTACATCTTGAGGTAACAATTACGGCCCCATGGACAGTGCACCAATGTAAAACATGGCTTCCATCAGTAAACCAAGAGACAAGGCCCATGGAACAGGGCCTGTGGTACCATAGTACACTAACTTCTAAATATGAAACTCTGTTTATAAAGTGCAAAATGAAGATGCCCCATTAGCTGCGGGCATCGTTGACTGTTGCTGGGACCTGCACCTCGAGCCCACTGAGCTCCTTAGTCATTGTGATCTGGCAACCCAATCTTGACCTGAAGCAAACAAAACAAAATGAAGCTGTAGAGTCTGCAGTATGAAAAGCAACATACCATAATTCCTCTGTCACCAAACCACTCTACAACTGGTTAAAAACAAAAATGTTCTCATGAGAACTACTGCGACCAGAGAGAGGTCCCATGGATCAATCCCCCTCCAGTCATCAAACCATACTGTTCACAATGAATGTTGGTGGGGTGGGGGTGTGAAGGGAATACAACAGTAGGCAGACGGGCGGGTGAGTCTTGGGCATAATCTTTCCTCCCCATGCACTTCATTCCATGGAGGCAGAATGAATCCTACTTTTGGTCAACATCACTTAAACAAGAAAACTGAAAGAGGGCTATCATGTTCGTGAGAACAGACCTTAATATTAAAACATCAGTCTGCAGTGCTGTCTCCATCCCTGCATAATGCTTTGTATAACAGTCTGCTGTGACGGGCTGGCCCTCAGCAGTTCAGCTGACCAATCTACCAAGCAAATGCTGTTCACAACACTGCAATCTCAGTTTTTAAAAGGTTTATCTGAAATATGATGGCTCAGTTGATCAAAAAATTCCCTGTATGGAACTGCATTCACAAGAGCTTGCCATTGGTCCCCATTCCAGGCCAGATGAATACAGACAACATCCTACAACTACATATCATGACGGTAGGAGTCCCACTGCTTAATCAAACACCTCCCCAAGAACAGGTAGGAGAAGAAGGCAGCTGATGGAGGAAATCGGTGAGTTTCAGGCTCTTGTCACTTTACTGTCAAGGAAAGGGGTGCTAGCACCAATTAGACAGATGGCTGGGAGGGCACCAGGGTCAGTCTGGACACTGGAAAAACCTCCCACCCATGCTAAAGTTCAAACCTTGATTCCTCAGTTGTCCTGCCCACACTATACTGACTGATCTACCCTGATTCATATTCATTTTAATGTTACCTTCTCATCTACACCTAACACATTGATGAAAACACATGTAGACAGATATTTTACATAAGACATGGAGTTCTTAAACGTTTGCAAAATAGTAAACAGTTTCCAGCCACTAAAACATACAAGTTCAGTGTTTTCTTGTCTCAAACAGAAAGCTGCAAAATAACATAAATGACAGTTCTACTGTGATTTGAGCAACACAATAATTGATATAATGATATTAACTCCGTCCCAAGTGCAAACAATATATTATGTGTCCTTGATCTTGCTCCTTTACACTACATGTTTCGGCCTAAGACGGCCATCATCAGGTGTATAACACTCATGTTGCTGTCATACTGCACCCAGCCCAAAATTTAACATTTAAAAACACTTTCCTTGTTATTATCAACATCTACTTCGTTGATATCTGTCTGGTTTGTAGATTATTTTACACACATTAATTTTGACTTTCCTGTAGTAGCACTATAAAATCTTTAGTTATAATTTTAAAATCCTTTAAAATTTTTCTCTAAATTTTAAAATTTAAAATTGTTAGGGTTACTCGCCCTATGTCTAAAGTGCTGCAGCGGCTAGTTCTTGTTTCCACACTGTATAGGTGTTATCTGTAATATACAAATATATTTGTATTACTATCTTATGTATGTGGTGTTTTCTTATGTGTGTATATTGTTATTTGTACTTACCCTGTGTAGTCTTTCTGTGTGCGTGCCGCTGCTATTCTTTACTACGTGTGCTGTCTGATGTACTGTGTGCTGAGTTTTATGTTTGTGAGTGTAGGGGGGGAATGGGTAGTGGGGAGAGGAAGGTACCGTTAGTCTGTATAGATTTCGTGTATCGTTTGAAATATGGGATTGTGTGTTTCTATGTGTGTATCATTCATGTGTAGGCCTTTCTTACTTATTTTATATATATGGTATTTCTCTAATGTATTCAAATGTCTGCCCTTCTTTCCCGTTGTTACAACTTCCATTACCTCTGTTATTGTTCCGTATGCATGTCCTGTATTTAGTATGTGATTTGAGTACCCGGAATTGCTATCATTATTTCTAATATCATGTATATGTTCTTTATATCTAGTGTTAAATGTTCTGCCCGTTTGCCCAATGTATTTTAAAGGGCAATCTACACATTTCATTTGGTATATGCCACTTTTATTGTATTTATCTAATTGTGGTTTTTGTTTGAGTATATTTTCTATTGTGTTTCGTGTGCGGAATGCTACTTTTATCTGTGTGTCTTTGAAAAGTTTTGTAATTTTTCTCACTTCTTTTGTACTATATGTAAATATATAGTATAGTATATATCGTATAGAGTGCAACAGGATGCTTAAATATAATATTGTAAACATGATAATGCTTGCATTACAACTGTACTGGCTCTATAAAATATATCAGGCACTGTATAAAAAGTCCATACAGATGGGCTCATGGCTCAAGTACTGTAAAATTGTTTGCTGCCTTACAGGAATACCTACGTGTCTGTAAGGTCATATGCCAAGTCCAGCATATCCAGCTCCTCATCTGTGGGCTTGTCAGGTAAGCGGTCAAAATCTTCCTTTTTGAATATAAGATGGCATGTGGAACAGGTCAGTGTGCCCTCACACGCCCCATAGCCTTCCAGGTCAACACTGTTGTTCACTACAATATCCAACAGGCTATCACCTTCCTTGCCCGTTGCTTTGATTCGCTCTCCATTTGCCCTAATAAACGTGACTTCCACTCTGCAATTAGGAACCCATCCATAAATAATTGCATCTCTCAACACCATAGCCAGGGAGTTTACACCCCTTGGCTATAAATACAACTACCCATTTCTAAAACACTATCATAAAGTTACTATCCCAAACACCTGGCCAACAAACTTACGCTTGCTTCTTCGGCAGAGGCTGTGTTTTTGAAGAACACTGTGAAGGTGCTGATGTATGCTGATACTTCAACAGCGCGCTGGATAAATACTTCAAAGCGCGGAAACTTGGCAAATTCCTCGAAAATGCTACGACGTTCGCCATCTTCAGAAGCCTTCTTGGACTTTGAATTAGCTCTCAAAGTGAAACAGAATATGAAAAATCAAACCATTACTCCCCTCCTCCTTATCGATAAAAATCGTTATCACTCAGGTAATATTTGTCAAATCATTATTACACGCACAAGATAACAAACCCAAAACACTTCCAACAGAAAATGACGACTCAACTCCGTGTGATTCTCATTCATACTCATTAACATTAATTCAGCTTCTAACTGCGGTAACGTATTAGCAAGTGGTTACGACAGGTTACTGCTGCGAAATAAATTTCTCCTCGTTCATCTGCCATATGCGCCCTACCAGGATTCTTTCTGAAAGTTACTAGGTAGTACTAAATTCGTCCGGCAGAATGCATTTCGAGTGGCGTTTGTGCTGCTACCTCTCGGAGGTGAACTTACACACCATCTTTCAACCTATCGATTCGTCGGAAGAGGAATGTTTTTGTACACTGTAACCTCTGCCATCTGTTAACAAACCTACTGTTCGAAAACGAAAAATTGCCACACCAACTTAAAGAACTAATCTGTTGTATATTTATAATGCATCTTACTAATTTCATGCGACTCTTATATACGGGTTTCGTCTGGCCTTAATTTGTGCGAGAATGCGGTTCAGTTATTCTTCTTCAGTTCCATTTTATTAATTTTCTGTTCTCGAAGAAGGTGATGTATCACTGTTTTGTCATTCGCATAAGAAGTCTTTTTATCTATAAGTAAAAAGGGGACAACGGGAGAGTTTAATTCGCTCTTTTTTAAGTTATTATTAATAAGTTTATGATAAAGGCAAATACTTTTGTGTTTCTCCTTCCTCTTTACTTCATAGCACGGGAAATGAAGCCTGATACGACTTCAAGAACTGAGTCCATCTTTTCCCAGGTCTTCCGCGATTTCTGTTTCCTTGTCATTTGTGCTGTAGCACCTGTTTCGGTACCTTTTCGTCAGTCGCTCTGTCCACATGGTTCTTCCAATTGTCTCTTAATTAAACACCGCGCCATGAAGACGCACGTGTGAGTGGAGTTACAGCTCAGTTCTTAACTTTCGGCAGTAGATAGCTGGTCAGCTTCACGGCCTGGCCGCCTTACCATGGATACAAGAGTGGGTGGGCCCTAAGGAGAAGAGAAAAATATCAGTCGGGAATCGAACCAAGATTCTTCTGTCATCTAGCCCTTAACGTAGTCACTACACTGACCGAGGTGCTCCAGTACCAGGACTTAATTAAATAATTTTCCTGGGGAGTAATGCGCGGCCGGCGCGTAAGGCTGACAACCTTACCGCCATCTTTGAGCCGATTGTCTAGATAATGTGCGACCCTCAACGTCTCACAACCTTATGGGCCTTCATGGCCTCTTACAGGGATAGCTTCACTTTCTTACTTTTATTACCTCACAGAAAACACCCCACGTCTCCATTACGAAGGAGCAGCACATGAGACACGTGAAAACTGCGACAGGCTCTGAGCGACACACGGGATAAGAACTGAGGAGGTCAAGAACATATTCTGATACCCATGCTAATGTAGATCTAATTCTACCCTCTTCAACAGAATGAGATACTTCAGCGTGTAACTTTCGGCACATTTCTGCCATGTTAACCTCATTAAAAGCTGTGGTTTACTTCAGTGCCTCCGGGAGAATGTCGGGAAAATACTTCAATTAAGTCATGCCGCCTCCTTCCGAATCCTTTCAATTCCACCACTCATCCATCCATTCAACATTACGTGTACATACTCCAGCTGCTACACGCGTCGTTAAAAATATTGCAATATATTGATGTAAAATTGGATCTAACATTTTGTTTGTGGGGTTCGAGCTATGACATGCGCAGATGCCGTCACTTTGTTGTGTGCTGCTAATGTTCCTGCTGTCGCTCTCGTGGTAGAAACGGAACTTACCCGACTAGGGGTGCCACCACATGTCTATGCAAAACTGAGCCCAGAGGTTTATTAGCTTTCAGAATTACCTCCCATAAAATGTTATGTCTACACTGGAACAATGGGCTTTTGTCCCGCGGAGGAACAGGGATGCCAACTTAAATATTTTGAAGTCTGAACCTTTTTCATAGTGCATAAGTAGTTCATGTGCGCTAACAGGGAAATTTTGCACTCACAGAGACGGCATGTAAACAGCTGAATACTCGAAGCACTCAAGTTCAACATTCAAATATCTGCTGAGTCCATGCAACGGAATTCTTCCTGAGAAGATAAGTCACTCAGCTGGTCAGAACATTCCTCTCCTCAAGGTTCATTACCTTGTTCACAACAGCGCACCGCTGGGCTGAATCCTGAGCCAGTTAATCTCAGTCCACGGTGATCGTCACCTTTAGAATTAGCCGCCCATTTACGTCTTGGCGTCGGAAGTGCTCATTTTACTTCCACATCCCGTCCATGCCCTTCCTGTTGATGTATTTGGCGAGTTACGAAGTTCGTTGCTATTATTATTTGCGTCAGCACGAACACAGCGCGGGCCCCGAGGCTGTGCAAGGCCACACTCACCCAAATGTGCATCACGGTCGGCACAAAAGGCTGGGAATGCGACTGTCAGCTATTTCCATGACCTACTCTAACACTGCGCCGCAAACATCTCACGCAGAACGGATGGCCGCGTTTATCTTATCCTTGGCGCCCGCTCTACATCCGGCCCGTTCTGTGCTCAACCAGTAGTTACATACGCAGTTTTTTTTTAATATTATCACGGTAAAATAAGGTAAAAGTAAAGTTGTTCCTGTACTTAACTAATTAAGCACTACGCCATGAAGGCGTAAGGGGGACTGGATGTATAGGCCCACGTTTCCTTGACCTGGGCACTAGTTGGAGTTGAGTGGACAGCTTCACGCCCCGGCCTCTTTACCCCCGGGGAAAGAGCCCCCGGTACCCATTGGATAGGAGGTTAGGTGGACCCCAGAGCCAGTATTGACGACAAGGAAAAGTGAAAATTCCTGACCCCACCGCGACTCGAATTCCGACCCCTCGGCCGTAGCCAGACGCTATACCGACTGAGCTATCCCGGCTCCATTGATCCTTGGCATTGAGGGAGGTATATAGACTGAGGGTGTTTGAGAACAGGATGTTGAGGAGAATATTTGGACCAAAGAGGGATCAAGTGACAGGAGGTTGGAGAAAACTGCATAATGAGGAGCTTCATAACCTGTACTCTTCTCCAAGTATAATTAGAATAATCAAGTGAAGGAGGATGAGGTGGGCACGGCATGTAGCACGAAAGGGGGCGAAGAGAAATGCATATAAGATAGTGGTGGACAAGCCAGAAGAAAAGAGACCACCAGGAAGATCAAGACGTAGGTGGTAGGATAATATTAAAATGAATCTTAGAGAAATAGGGTGGGGTGGTATGGACTGGATTGTTCTGGCCCAGGATAAGGACCAGTGGAGGGGTCTTGTGGACACGGCAATGAACCTTTGGGTTCCATAAAATGTTGGGAAATTCTTGAGTAGCTGAGCGACTGACGGTTCTTCAAGAAGGGCACAGCCACACCATAAACTGCAGCGCTTTGTTTCATGTCCTCGCTTTAGCGCCTCATCCCTTTGCAGTTAATCCCTCCCGCCTGAGGCGAGAACTTCCTCGTCGGGTAAGTTCCGGAGTCCGGTACAAACATATGGGCAGACCCGAAGGGTGGTGGGTTTTGGGGCTCTGTGTATCGTTCGGGGGAACGTAACGTTTCGACAACTGGATCTGTTTCCATCCTCAGGAGGGGGGAGACACCTACTCTGTTGCGTCCTTTAATCTTGTGCTTGGTTTGTTGCACGACATTTTCACATCCCTTCTGTGTTAGTTTCAGCCCTGTATATGCCTCATCACAATTTTTATTGAACATTTTCCTGTTGCCTCCTTTCGACAATGCCTGAGCTCAGGATTTACATAGCTCTACTGGATTTGACATGGGCTGTCTACGCATAGAGGTTAGCTCTTTCTAAGGGACACAAAGTAGGTGACTCTCACCTCACCTGAGGACGGAAACAGATCCATTTGCCGAAACGATGTTCTGTAGTTTTTAGAATACCGGACGATGGACAAAGTCCACAAGTCCAGTATTTCGGAAAACAGATGGACCCGAACTGCTTGTCCCCCCCTCTAAAGTATGGATTATAGGTGGGGGGGGGGACTTGCCCCCACTGAAATTGCGGAACAGTTTGCAGATGTATCCAACTTGTCTATGGGAATTTCTGGTTGCCTGGGCTCAGGTACTACTGCCCACAGAGTCCTATTGTCCTAGCTTTCATGACGGCTATTCTACCTGTTGTGAACGGGTGTGAAACTTGGTCATTCACTGCAGGTGAGGATCCGAAAGTGTTGAATGCTCTTCCCTCCGATTAATACAGCCTACTGTTACTGTGGACAAATTAGGGATGAGATGGTTAGGAATGTAGCACGCATGCGGACTTGAGAAATGCATAGGTTATGGAACACGAACTTATTTGTATCTCCTGACTGTGTTCAGGAAGCGCTCTGTTCAAATCTCGGATAGGACATCGTATGTTCTCGTATGAGGATTCCTCAGTCGCTCCAGGCAAATATCGGAACAATATCTTGACTATTGCACTACCGTTTCCTTCCATATACCTTCTAATTCATCAGGCCCATCCTGCGCTGACAGCGCCGTGTTAATGTGACGGTGTAGTCAAGGTCCTGAGGACGGATACAGTTGAACGCTGGTACTCACCTACCAGACTGTACGGTATCATCAACATGAAGCTTCATCGCCACTATAACCTCAGCTCTCACAGAACAGGCCTGCAGACCTGTGGAAGGCGCCTGTAGAAGACCTAGAAGTAGATAGAATGATAATATTAAAACAAATATGACAGAAATAGTAACTATTCTGTGAGAGCGTGAAGATAATTGAACTCTCTTGGATATGGGGTTCTCGGGGCAGTGACTACGAACCACTCTGCTTACTGCTTGAAGACGGAGGCAGTATCTTACTCCGAAACGTTGGACTGTAGGGCGTGACATCCAATTACTGAACTGCCTCCTGAGGCGAGCCCACTGCATTGGCATTTGTGGAGTGCACCCCCCCCCCCCACCACTCCACCCCACGCACACGCCGTCACCCCCGACACGTGGCCACAGCAATTAGTGGCGCCCCCCGTCGCGACGCGTGGCCACCGCTCTAATGAGATCAAGGTCAGGCATACGTCAGCCTCGCTGATTACACGATTGTTGGCCCTCACATTCTGTCTACACTGCCTGCCCATCTGTTGCAAATCGGCGGTCTTTTGGGACCCGACCTAAACAAGAAAATACGGCGTCACAGCCCTCTCCAGTCGACATGTTGGTGCCATTTGAACCAAAAGCCTACTTCGTGCCTCGCTGATGCCTTTTATTAGCGCAGCTCCATAAAACTGGCTGAGCAACCAACAGTTTCTCGACAACGATACTGCCCGACGAGACAGTAGGCTCACGTAATGCTACGGCAGCTGCATTAAGCAGTTAGTTCAGCGTCGCTTCACTTCCACCCGTGACCGCACAAGCAAGAGTGCACTAAGTCACAACGGGCCTGTTCCCTTCAGGTCTGATTTCAGGGCTACAGTCGGACCAGCGTCGTTAAACAAACACCGTTGAAATCTGCTCTACGGATCCCGCATTCGGTGGGCTTGGATGCAGCTGGCTGAGGACAAGGTTACGAACAGGTAGCAGCTGTACCGGGTTCGATTCCAAGTCGATTCCGACCGGCCGATTCTTTCCACAGAAAGATGCATACCGGCTCAGATGTTAGATGTAGTGGCTTGGCTTCAGGCTGCGGCCGCTCTACACCCTCCATACCCCCTATACGCTGCGGATTGACCTGCCGCCAAGTGACACCAGGAGACACTCAATCACTGGAGCCGGGACATCCCCCGCGCTGCCATTGGTGGACGGGCGGCCATGTTGCGGATTGGAGGGGCTGGCCACGCCCCCGGGGTGCGGACCAATGGCCGCGCAGAGGGTGGCCTCCGCATGCCCGAACAGAGGACCTCCGAATTTGGGGCGCACACAGAGCCGTGAGTGAGCGAGGCTGTGACAGTTGTCGGGGCCTGAGTATCATCGTGTCGCCGGTATCATCAGCAGAAGCAGCAGGTAAGTGTGGCCTGCGTCACAGGTGAAGGCATATATTGTGCTTATTACAAGGCACTGCAGCCGTTACAGTATGCCCCGTACCGCGTGGGTGTGAAACTCGGTCCCTCACATGTGTGTTGCAGAACAGGGTCCCGAGGGAACAGAGAAAACTGAACATTACGAGCTTCACAACTTTGAATTATTCACAATATATGGTTAAAGTGATGAAGTCAAGTACGATTAAATAGGTAGGGTGTGTAGCGTGAATGTGAAAGACGAATACTGTAAACAGGAGTTTAATTTCAAACCCTTCATAAAAAGAAACCACTAGAGAGAACTGGACGCCGATAATATTAAAACGGATCATAGCAGATTGTGAATACGGTGTTGAACATTTGGGTTCAGCTAGGTCTGGGTTTAGCAGTTCACTGGGCCTAACCGACGTTTAGTCTCCCGTTTACTGGATTTCCTGAACTCAACGAACAGGTGCTGCCGAAAGCCGTGCATTTCCCCCTGTCACATTTCATGACAAGCTTCCCATAGCACAGTGTGCACTTCACAGCGCATGCGGCACAGGGCAGTACAATTGACATAATTAAGGCTATAATGAACTGGTCACGTGTCACTCAGATCCATTTATCCGCTGCTAGACGACATGCGCAGAGCGGTCACATTTCGTGCATTCCTCTCGCATGGAAATCAAACTAAGGTAACGGGGATTTGGGGATCGCATTCTTTCAAACTTCCCGCATAAAACAAGAATTTCTTATATCTGCACTGCACTTAAAATGGCGATAAGTCACAACTACGAGGTGCGTAGGCCTTTGAAAGAACGAACAGCCTGAAGCAAGACTTCCTAACCGCACACGAAAGGAAGGAAGATTCAATATACGTGTACATAGGCCTGAACTGTTCTTCAAATTCATCTTGCAAGAGAGCACTACATTAACTCTTGAAAGACTGAATTTATTCTAAATAATATTGCCACGCATCATGCTTGGCGTGACTAATAATAATGGGTTCCAGATTAGATGCACAGATTTATCGGAAACCCACAAATCATAACTACAAATAAACACTCTAAATATTACTGTAACTACAGCACACAGAATAAAATCTTCAACCTCTGCTTGCTAGTCGTTGCTGAGTAACGAATCTTATCTGGTTAACACTTCACGGCTGAAAACTCAACTGCTGAATTCTCTGACTGAATTGAATTAACAAATGAACTCCCTTCTGTAATTGCGGGAGAATCGAACAGAGATCACCACCTCCAAGAGCAACATTACTGTTTTCATGCATGCGTTGTATCGGAAACCACGTGTTCATTACGAAGCATTACCTGTTTTGTTAACAACTTTCAGTTTTAGTATCCGTGGAAATCATGTTCCGTAATCAGTTGGTTTCCAAGAATCAGTCTCTCCGTGCCAATGTGTTTCCCCATTCGTTTCCTAGAAATGGCCCACATGTCACAATATATACAAATCTAGTCCGTACCTCACAGGAAGCACGTTACGTCACCACTACAAAGCCCAACCGGTTAATGGTGTTTGGGGAAACAGTTACTGTTTATTGCAAGAACCATACGGGACACACAGATACACCCTGTGGGTAGAATGCCGAGTTTTACTGTGTTATGTACAGTATGTAACTGGACTTGAAAGGGTTAATAGAATAAAATAAACTCTGATTTTAACTCAGTCTGAACTCAATAAAGGCCGGTCACGGTAGCCGAGCGGTCTAAGGCCTGTACTGTCTTCGCTCGCTTGGAAACCGGGATCGTGTGTTCGAATCCCACTCACGGCATGGATGTTTAGTTTGTGTGTGCGTTTTTCTGTGTTTGTATACAGGTAGAGGCCTTGCGGCGAGCTGATCACCCGTCCAAGGAGTCCTACCGAATGTGTAAGATCTAGAAAAACCGAAGTGAACGGAGAAGTTCATGGAGGTAGGCCTAGGTCCACTGGGGCTGTAGTGCCAAGGAAGGAAGGAAGGAAGGAACTCAATAAAGGTGTTTCTTTTGCGTAGTTGCGATTGTGTCTAGAGGTCGTTGCTGATCTTTGAATATGCAAGTTTGGAAACGTACTCCCTTGCTAAGGAAGTGTACAGGACGTCAAGTGTGTGCTTCGTTTATTTATACAACTTGCGTTCCAAATATTCTTCTCTCCGATAAATGTTTCTAGCAGATTTCTTGAAAAAAGAAACATTTAGTTGCGCGGGGAGGCAGGCTTTCGTGTGAACTAAACCGAAGTGTCCCCACAGACCCCCGCAACACTTACAGTTCCTCCACGCGGACGCACTGAGCGACCTCGCTGGATGCAGGTCGGGGCTTCGAGCGCGCCTAAACAAACCTCCGTCACGCTGCATACCTCCCACGCCTTCCATACTCCTTTACGTCGTGGTCTACCGACTTCTCTCGGCAGTCACTGACCTGCAAGTGACAAACAGATGATGATGCTTCCATTTCTTCTTGATCAAAGTCAAGGATTGGGTGCTACGAGGCAGGTCAGAAGTTTTAAACGTGATTTTTCCATCTGCTTCTGCGTTTTCTCCCGGGTCAGTTTACACGCCCTGCGCCCCATTGTCAGTGTGCAGTATACATATACAGAGAATGTCGCTGTGATTGCGCGCGGTCAGACGTCGAGTCCTGCCTGGTGTACAGACCTGTCTGTCAGAATTACTAGATTTTTGGACTTGGTCAATACCGGATGAAAGACAAAGTCCAGAACCCAGAAATTCTGAGTGTTATAACCCATCGTCTGAAAGCTTTAGTATCTAGGCCTATTTGTGTTTCTCTCCCAAGGCAGAGGCCCTGCGATTGGCTGATCCACCAGTTCAAAGCGGTCAGAGGGCAATTCAATTTAATCTGAATTCAGGTCAACCCTTGCCCACTGGGTATCAATGTTGTTTCTGGTGAATTTCTGCATTCGCCCTTTCTAAATATTCTCACCGTCAACCAAGACGACTGCAGTAGCCCCCCCCCACCGTGCTGTAAAGAAAGAGTCTAAAGGCATTAACGTTCCTCTTAACAGTTTTATGTTACGACCGACGGTCATTGGGTCAGTCTGTCTTGGTGTCAAGCCCCCATCTGGAGCCCAAGACAAGATTTTCATTACTGTCAGAGAGTTGCCGGTTTGTTGACGCAGGGCATCCTCTCAGGCGAGAGGACGGATCTGTCATTTACAATTTGCTGTTGGTCTTCGCCAGCGCAGTCGTTCTCGGGTCCGAGTCCTGCGGGACTTATGATCATATTTCAGATTTGAGATTCCCTCAACCTGGTCCCCCAGGAACAGGGTAGCACAATTATAACCCCAGGCACTGGGTTCACTTTTCGTCTCCTCCTACCACTCGCAGAGATACAGTGGAGGTATCAGAACGCGCCTCCAGGTGGTGTCTTCCAGTCCATACCTCACAGGGAATATTACGTCTCCGCTACAAAGCCCAACTGGCTAATGGTGTTTAGGGAAACAGTCGCTGTTTACTGTGAGAACCATACGGAACACACAGATACACTGTGTGGGCAGAATGCAGAGTTTTGGTGTGTTAGAGCGGGTGGTACATATAGTAACTACTGAGCTTTCATAGCATAAACCTGCGGAAAATTGTTAATTTTACTGTTGCATGCTTGGGTTCGAGTCCAGTTAAACATTTTGCACATGTTTTCCTACATAAACAGAGCAGTGGGGTCGTGATGACAGTGAGTACAACGGTCATGGCAAGGAAACGTGTTTATGCTTCATGCGTTCTCATGTCAGGACACTACAGCATTACTTCTGACCGTGTTGGCACTTGCCCCCACACAATTTGTGTTCTGAGGGTCCACCCGCCTAGAAACGCGAACAACAAAGATACTTTCCGAAACTGTAACAAACATTTTCTCGTACTCGCAGGCCAGCTCGAAGCCCAGAAGGCGCTAGCACTGAGAGCTCAGCCATAAAATTAAGAAGAAATAAAATCAGACACTGTCCGTTCTGTTCTTACAAACATAAGTAGACACGGCGATAATAGCAATGCCGGGATAGCGACTGGCCACGGGGCTGCACGGCCGAGGAGTCGGAATTAGGGTCCTTGTAGGGGCAAATTTTCTCCTCTCCGCGTCGTCCAGAGCGGCTCTAGGCCCCTCCCAATTTCCGCACAAGAAGCTCTTTCTCCGGGGGTAAAGCGGCTTCAAAGTGAAGCTGACCACTCACCTCCAACTGGTGCCCAGGTAAAGAATACTTGGATCTATACATCCATTTCCCCATACGCCTTCATGGCGTAGTGCTTAATTAGTTAAGCACAGGGACAACTTCACCTTTAATCGTAATAATAGTAATAATAGTAATAATAATAATAATAATAATAATAATAATAATAATAATAATGATGATGATTGTGGCGGGGACGAAGTGTGTGGACGGCGGACGTCGAGGATGAAGTGGCGCGCGGCGTCCCCAGAGCCCTGTCGCTATCGCCGTGTGGTCGTCAGCACAGCGTCGGATGTTAGAAAGGTAGGTGAATGGTGTACTGAAAAGGATTTCAAGGGAAGCGGTTTTGGCCTAACCCAGATACCATCACAGCATGTCTGGAGGGATGAGGAAAACCACGAACAACTGAGTTGTGATAGCCGGTGTTACGGCCGGGAATCGAATCGCACACCTCCAAAACATAACTCCAGCGTTTCCACTAGGCCCATCTGCTTAACCAATTAAGCACTGCGCCATGAGGCGTATGGGCAAGTGGAGGTATAGGTCCATATTTTCTTGACCTCGGCACTAATTGGAGATCAGTGGTTAGCTTCACTTTCAAGCCGCTTTAGCCCCAGAGAAAGAGCCCCCAGTGCCCACTGAATAGGAGGCTAGTTGGGCCCCACAGCTGGGCTGGACTACGTGGAGAAGAGACAATACTTGCTCCTACGGGGTCTGGAACTCCGACCCCTCGGCCGTCCATCCCGTAACCAGTTGCTACACCGACTGAGCTATCCCGACTCCTCACGTCCAGCCCGTAACCAGTTGCTACACCGACTGAGCTATCCCGACTCCTCA